TACCTAAGTGATTACTGTTAGGAAAAATCAGGGTAAGACAAAGATACTGGAATAAACCAGAATATTTACTGGCAGTGACAATCTATGAGGGTCACTCAAAAAGTTCTAAGTCTCACTCAGAAAGGGTTAGAGAAACAAGACAGTTTTTCAATATTTATTAATATAGCCATCCTTGACATCAATGCACTTAATGATGCTTAAACATTGCAATCTCATCACGGAAGAAGGTGTCATCCTGATCCTCCAAAAACTTCACAGCATATATGATCTCATTGTTTCCAAAATGGTGGCCATGCAGGTAGGATTTGAGTTTAGGAAACAGGAAGAAGTCAGATGGAGCTAAGTCTGGTGAGTAAGGGGGATGAGGTAGCAATTCAAAGCCACAGTTGGCTGCTTCAGTTACTGCAACCTGAACAGTATGAACAGGCATGTTATCCTGGAGCAAGAGCACACCTGACCTCAGCTTCCCTCTTCATTTTGACTTGAGTGTTTTCATCACTTGTCTTAATTCTGATGCATGGCAATGTCTATTAATAGTTTTTTCCATTTTGCAGGTGGTCTATCATGATTCCACTTTCAATAACCTAAAAAACAGAAACCATCACCTTGTCGACACATGCTGCCTGTTTGAACTTCTTCGGGGGTGGATAACAAGAGTGTTCCATTGGTTGCTTTGAATCTGTGATTCAGGTTCAAAGTGATGAATACAGATTTCATCTTGAGTTACTAATCTGCAGTGGAAATTCTCAGGGCCAGCTTGGAAGCAAATCAGAAATGTCCTGGAAATTTCAACACTTTTCAGCTTCGGATCTGGTGCCGGCATTCTCAAGACCCATCTTGCAGACAGCTTGCTCATTCCCAAAACTTCAATTAAAACAGTCTGGGCCAAACAAGAACTAACACCTATGGACTTAGCTGTCTAATTGACGGTAAGATGTCTGTCATCCAAAACCATACAGTAAAAGGCATCAAATTGTTCATCAGTGGTTGAGGTTTTTGGATGACCTCACTGAGGGTCATCAACTGTGCTGTCCCTGCCCGACTTGAATTCTGCCTCCCACTTCTTCAGAGTTGCATAGGAAGGGAAGTCCTCAGCAATTGTCCATACCATGGATTTCCTTGGGGGTCATATCTTTCTTTTGCCGATATTTTATGACTGCTCAGGCCTCTGTTTTGTCCATTTTTAGATCTGTTGCACACCTCTCACTTTTGTATGGGCCTCAGCTGCACAGAAATTAAGACAGAAATCTGAATTAGTTTTTCTAGTTTTATAAGAAGTTGTATTGTGTTGCCACAACAAAAATCTTCAGGTAGGGCTCTTCTTTCTGGGTGAGGCTTAGAACATTTTGAACATCCCTCATTTTATGAAACCAATAAAGCTTCAGGGTTCCTAAATACAGAGGGGCCTCTAAAGTGTTTATCACTAAAGTGACAGGATCATAAGCCAATGGGTTGAATGTTGGCTTTAGAATATACACTAATACCCATTTCATATGACTTCAAAATTCCCTTATAATTGGTCAAATTTCAAAATTTTCTTTAGAGCTTGCAGCACCTGAATCCCCAGCTTTATGGGCTCAATGAGATCACAAGACGCTATTCATACATTTTGGCAATTAGATCCTCTAATGTATTGTTGCTGGTTGCAAAGAGGGCTCCCCATATATGTTCAAGATTCAGGATCCCAGAAATGTAGGTCAGCTGCTGATCAGTGGGAACTGCCTGTATCCTACTCTTCTACATGACATGTCCCTTCAGAACCTGAGGAAAGTGTCCTTGGACAATATGACACTCACAGGACACATTGAAGGAAAAAGAGACAGAGAGAAAATTTGAGTAATATACTTAATCTTGTAGAAATAGAGGAACAGGGACTAGGAGGAATAATAAGGGACAAACATTGTTTAAAGCTACAAAGAATAGGAAGTTGTGGAGAGCCATGATTGTGCCCACATCTTGAAGGGACATGGCCTATTAAAGAGAAATGTATTAGATGCTGTACAAAAGAGAAAAGTTAAATGACAGACTAACATGTAGATATATTGGACATCAAAATTTAAATACTTTCATGGTAATTGTTCAGATGAGCTCTTCATTATGGTACCTAGACTTTATGAATTTAAGTGCAATACTGGTATGTTGGAGTAATGATTAGCAGTTTGGATTGAGGAATCGGAGAGCCAAGTTCAAATTCCAGTCAAATCCATTACATTCACTTACATGCTAATACCCTTGGGAAAGGTATGAATCCTCTTCTCCCTCAGCTATGGGTAAATAGCAGGACAGACCAGGTTCTATAGCCTTGGATGGCAACTGGTCTAGAATGTAGAATGAAATAGCAACCTACTGCGGGGGAAAAATCTGCCTCGTCAGTCATGTATCAAAAGATACATGATTGCCTACGTGTGTATCACACATGGCACATAACTAACTGACTAAACTGGTGTCAAAATCTCATCAATTTACAGGTGAGCTGGCTGAGATGTAACTGTAACATTCTATGCTAACAGTTTCTTTTCTTGCACTTCTTGCTTGTGGAACTCCCTTCTGGCTCCATGCTTTCCAGCCAACTTAAATCTGCAAAAATTTAAATGCAATGCCAATTGCTATCTATTATCCTGATTACTCTTCCTGCTAATTATTAATTTTTCTGTTTTTAACTGTTCCACATGAATTCACCTCCTTGTCTTAGTGGCTTTACTAACTTGCATGGGGTGATACCGATTTAAAAAAGGAAAATATGTAAAACTGAGGTTTACCTGTATCTTTAACATTTTGATATAAACCATAAATGGTGTGTTGTATTTTTACCTCTACTTTTATAGATAAAACTGATTACATCAGAACTTATTAACCTGAAGAAATTCCTTGTCAGAATGAAACATCACTAAAGTTTTCAATTTTGTCATTCAAATTTGATCATATTTAATTGATAGCAAAGAAACAAGTTTTCTTTACTAAACTAATTGATTAAAATTTTACTTTAATTACTGTAAATTTAATAAGACTTATTGTTACCACTTAGTTTATTAAAATGCTACCGAGTTCATTATTACAAATAGAACTTTAGATTTTTTAATCATTTCACTCCAAGCAAGGCAATAAAGCCACTAAGACACAAGGAGTTACTGAAAAAAGAAAATACAATTAAAGAGAGAGAACATTAAAAGAACAAGAATTAAGACAGTAGATTGACATTACATTTAAATTTTTGAAGATCAAAAATGACTGGGGAACAGGAAGAGAGTTCCACAAGCGAGAAGTGTGACAGAAGAAACTGTTAGCAGAGAACTTACAGTTACATATAGCCATTTCAACTGATGAGACCTTGCTGCCAATCTATAATTTATTTTCTTTAACTTTTTCTCCTGATATATAAAGTTGAAATTATACCTTTTCTTTCATAACATTTTTCCCTACAACCTTGGAAACTTATCTCTGTGAAATTGAAACCATTTTAAATATATTTTAATTTAATTTCAAATGCAACAGTTCTATAGCTCAACTGCAAAAGACAGAAATTTCAGTCACAGTTAATGTATTAATAATGAATTAATTCCAATGTCCATTTAGGATGTAAACAATTGTATTGACTGTAAATAAAGGAAAGATAGTGAAGTGGCTTTCAGTTGCCTTCTCAAAATTCTTGAATCCAGAGTCGAGTATTTACCCATCTCCCCACAGTGACATGATGTGACACAAGATTGGGTTTAATGTAGGGCATCCAAGCACATACACCCAAGTTTAGAAAACAAAGTTTTCTTTCTCTCAGACTCACTGCCCTACCAAGGTTAGAGAACCAAGTATGCTGTACTATTTTGCCAGTAGTTGGTGGAGGGAGAAAAAAATGATGATCTGTCTGAAGTGAATATAACAATTTCTGCTAAAATTGGAATTTGGCTAGCTGATTCTGTTTTTCATGTCAATAACCCTTGTGCCACCTACCTGCACATCTTGTTAACAGTTGCAGAGTATACAATCAAGAGGATACCAAATAAATAACCTCACCACCTATTGTTCATAATAGAAGCTTTATCTGTTTATATTTCTGAGATGAGGTATTGTAACTATTTACACTATATTGTTCAGACTGATATCATCTTTGTCATATTCACAATGTTTCAGTTGTGCACTCTGGCCTTCTTCAGGTAATATAAAGGATTTGGCTCGAAATTCCAATGTATCTCACCTGAAGAAGGCTGGAGTGTGCAACGGCAGAAACATGTGAATATGACAAGATGAGGACAACAGTTCGAACAATGTAAATAGTTACAATACTTCATCTCAGAAATATAGATAGATTCTGAAGAAGGCTGGAGCATACAATGTCCGAAACGTGAATATGACAATAAAAATGTGAACAACAGTCCAAACAATGAAAATAGTGTAAAAAGAAGCTTTATCTTTCATATTTCTTTCAGGGCTTATTTATTTTCTGAAATTGCCATGTAATTCCCCTCCAAGAAAGGTAAGATTTATTTCTGTGAAGGTTAAAAAAAAAAAATCTTTGACTTAGTTTTATGTATTTATGCCCTTGTTGGTGACATTTGTAAACATTTGGTGCATGTTGTCCATAGTGTCCAAACGTGGGAATCCAGGTGCAAGCCATTACAAATGCTCCAGTCCCATTGTTTTCTTGGACATTAAGAGAAGTGGGAGATACTTGAGCAATGTGCAAGAAATGTGGTCTGTCAACTTCAGAAACTGAACGTTTGTTTTACTAATGAGAATCCCCCCTCACATCAACTTCAAGCAGGAAATTTCATTTACTTGAAAACAATTTGATTTTTAACCCTTAAAGAAAAAAGAATGAAAATAACAATAAGGAAAAACAAAGTAAATAATGAAAATTAAGAATAATAGTCAACATTCCATTTAGTAATAACTGCCAAGATGATATTATTACCACTAATACCGCCAAGATGACATTATTACCACCGATACCATCAAAATGACATTATTACCACTAATACCAACAATGCTTATAATCAACAACGGGCTTGTGGCCAGATCATGTTTGAACACAGGTTCTCATGCCATCACCAAAGTTAAGCAATGCTGAGCCTGGTCAGTACCTAAATGGGTGACTGCTTGGGAATTCTAGGTGCTCTAAGCTTGAATGTGCAGGAGGTGTAATGGATAATAGGTCGGAGTTGGAAATCAGACAGCAGAGTTCGATTATCTACCCAAAATTTTTACAATCTAAAAATATTTCCCCCCCCCAAAAAAAACTACCTGCCCATGCCAAAAGTTTTTTTATGCTTCTTCATTTTTTTTTTTATTGTGCTCCCAGCATCATCCAACTATCCACTCTTCCCACCATCCCACAAAAAACTCATCAATGCAATTCACATATTCATTAAGTGCCAAATAACAGTACAAAGTTGTGTGTGTGTGTGTGTATATATATATATATATATATATATATATATATATATATATATATATGTAAAAATATATAGAAAATAGGAAGGAACTGGTTAGGTAAATAATCCAAAGTCCCGTAGTATTTTAGTTATTTTTAAAAAATAGTGCTCGATACAAAAGTAGAGAATAAATATAATTATTTATTTAAAATATGATTCCAAAACGCGACATAAGAAGTCATGTTTCAAAACAAGAGCCGAAAACTTCAATGAATTTTTAAAACACGTAAATTTCAGAAATACGTTATTCCAATAAAAATTTCGCTTGAAGATGGAACAGAACTCACTTTAACTCAATTTAATTTAAATAATTATATTGAAGTTTTTGGCTCTTGTTTTGAAACATGAGACTTCTTATGTCGCATTTTGGAATCATATTTTTAAATAAATAATATATATATATATATATATATATATATATATATGCATGTGCCTGTTTATGTTCATAGCTTTATGAAAAACAGGGTGTGTCCCCATCATGCATGCTTACTGGTTATATGTATAATTAAGTTCACATATAAAGTATGGTGGGTGGGGCAGTGTATGTAGGGAAATTTTTACAGATTAAGATGTTACAGATTTTACTAGCATCTCATTCAACCATTAATGCTAATACTATATTAACTAAGAGATGATTTATTCAAAACCTCCAGGGATTGCATCTTTATTTACAGGATTTAAAAATCAGCAAACATGGACTTTTGTGCCTGAAAAAAATGGTGTTTCAAAAAACAGTTTATCCATTGACACTGCTATTATTTTAACTATGGTCATCCCCCCTTGGCAATGTTTACTTACAAAATCATAAAAAAATTTACCCTTTATAAAGATTTATTTAAAATTTTATAAAAGAAATAAATGTGAGAAGAAATCTTTTTATTCAATTTTTTATTATAAATTACAAAATTATCAAAATATGTAAACCCTCCACAATGCAATATTTATTATTAACTATTTTATAAATAGCTGTAAAAACAATTTTTTTATTCACAATTTTATATTAATGAATTATGAACCAAAATTTGAATAAAAATGTATTTTCTAGACATAATACATTTTATTCTCATTTTTTTTTTTTTTTAATCTTGGATTACTTGTTTTAATTTCACATGTTTGGGGTTCATTAAAATTCTAATCATTGCATTTAAAACCATAAACATTGCTGAGTGAGTGATTTATTTATTATTTTTTATTATTATGCCTCTTGATTCTTTGGGGAACATAGGGCCACAACAACACCTTTCCAACAGACACAGTTCCAGGCAATCCTCTTCAGCTTGGCCTATGTTATGCTAGCTGCCTTCACCTCTGCATCAACACTTCTACACCAAGTCTGTTTAGGTCAATCCACTTTTTGCTTTTTGTGGATTCCAGTCAAGGGCCTGCCTGGTGACAGTAGAAGCAGGCTTGTGGATTGTTTAGCTGATCCATCCCCATTTCCAATTTTGATGTCAATCTCAATTGGGGCTTGTCTGGTCCTGTCCCACAGTTGGTCATTGGAGACGGCTTCCCTTGTGGATTCCAGTCAAGGGCCTGCCTGGTGACAATAGAAACAGGTTTGTGGAGTGTGTGGCCGATCTATCCCCATTTCAATTTCTTGATGTCAATGTTGATTGGGGCTTGTCTAGTCCTGTCCCACTGTCATTGGAGTTGACTTCCGGTTATCTGATATTAAGGATGTTCCTGAAGCTTGTGGGTGTTGGTTTTGGTTACCCACCAGGTTTCTGAGCCATAAAGCAGGACTGACTTGATGTTGGTGCTGAAGATCCAGATCTTTTGTAAAGTGAGAGGGCTGTTGATCTCCAGATTGGCCACAGAGTGTTGAAAGCATGTTGGGCTTGCTGAAGGAGTGAAGGCAGGTAAAATTGGCAATTATTCGATGTCTTAAAATTTATTGCATATTTGATGGCCTATATATTCTGATAATTTTGTAATTTTAAAAAAAATTTTGAATAAAAAAAAAAAAAAAAAAAGAAAAAAAAAAGAGACCAGATATGGCAGCCATGTTCAATGCACACATGAATATGTTTGGTTATTCAGAATTAAAGCAAGAGAGGTTTATGAAAAGAAATAGTTAAATAAAGATTGTCTATCATCTACAGTAAAACTTGCTTAAATTAAAAAAAAAAAAACAAATAAAATTGTTACCAATATAAATATGGCTGAATGAAGCTGGATGAGAATCCAACGGAATGGTAAATACCTGTGACAATTTGGAAATCATCTACTTTGTCAGGTTTTGCTAATGGACCAGCATCATCAGAAAAAAAGAATTCAACTTCACAAGAACAAAATCCAGTGGCAAGACAAAATTTTTCAGAAAAAACAGCTTGGTCATTGTTGTAGAGTAGCTAGCACCCCTTCAATACTTTACCAGATGACCTGGCTCATAGCCTTAAATAGTCTATGATTAAGGACTTCAACAGTTGATTAATAAGTTGATACTAAGCTGATTAATATTCGGACTGATCTGTTTGGCTATACAACATTTGACCCACCTGTATTCCTTTTAAGTTGTCTTGTTAATTGTTTTGTAACATATTGTTCTGTGTTTTTTTTGTATATATCCTGTTAGCACCAGATACTGGTGTTGAATAAATATATTAAGCACTCATTCTTCTCTGTGTATCATTCACCTTGACAACATAACAGTCATTTTCCGTCCTTGTGGAACAAACTCCTGAGAGGAGGCTTCATTAGTCACTTCAATCTTAACCTCTTCTAATCCACAGTCAACCATTATCTATCCTATATACCCCCATAAGCTGTACTCCTTAACCCCCCTCCTCTCACATTCATACAACCTCATTATATAACACTCTACATTGAGTGGCTCTTGGAGTTGTACTTGGTGAATATTTAGGAAAAAAAAAAAAAAAAAAAAAAAAAAAAAAAAAAAAAAAAAAATGTCATTTTGAGACACTAGAAATGAAAAGTAGATTTGTTATAAGAATCCAAAATGTAGATTGTCCTGGGTTTGACAAACTATATCCAGCAGCAAGGCCTCTGATCAAGAGATTGTAGGTTTTAAGAAGTGTGGCACCACCTCTTAACTGCTGCTGTTCCCAGATCCATCCTGACCCAAGGTGGTAACACCTGTTAGGGTCCCAGCTATGGGCAAATAGTGACCCCCCCGCAAAAAAAAAAAAAAAAAAAAAATCAACAGGTCATTTTAAAATAAAATGACCAATATAACACTAAAAAAAAAAAAAAAAAAAAAAAAAAAAGAGTCTAATACAAACAAAATATTTTTTATAAGAACATTACCACCAATACATCTTACGATCTGTAAACTATAGATCTAAAATACCTACCTTTTACCTAGAGGTATAAAATTATGAACAAAATATTTAGACTTTAGCATGAAATAAACCATCGAGGTTGATATGCTGCTAAACAAAATCAATCAACCAAAACGTAGAAAACAATGACTAGAAAGGAGGAGAGTCTTCACCACCTCAGATAAAGTAGAATCAAAATTAAAATTACTACTGGTCAGAACTGTTGTGAGCAACTGGCTCATTTGAATGATGCACTGAAACAGAAAATTTTTTTCTAGACAAAGTCAACCTGTTATTTTGCTGCATAGCAATACCTGTTCTCAGACTGCAAATGACTGGCTGCTCATTCCCAACCACACCTGTCTGCTATGGCAGCTAGCCAATCCCTGCTGTAGACATCAGCCAAGGCATATTTGTGTTTGTTCAATATCCACAGAGCTCAATGCAACTATGCCAAGCAGCCCACAGTTACAGGACCTTACAGAGGATATAATCTGGCCTGATCAACAGAGAATTTTGTGTGACCACTGATGGCCACTGATTTGTATTTGTTTTTTTTTTTTTTTTTCATGGCTTATCAAACCTTTATGGTTTATTTAAAGCCGAAACCATATTTTGGATTGTAAGGCCACAGATAGTAGACTGATCCCAGATACTACACAGACACAGGCCACAGATAATACATTGAACATAGACTGTAGTGCCAATCTATATAAAAATAATCCTGTAATTTTAGGCAGTTATTTTGCTAGTCTCATACAAACATGTAATATACCAGATGACACCAAACTTGAAAAATACCTACAGATACCTAGAGTGTACATCGTTACATCTTAGTTGATAAAGCATATTTCATATATTTGAAACAAACATTTATATCCTTCCCGTCAATATGCAAAATATCATTGCATAAACAGTTGGCAAATGATGACAAAAGATCAGTTTACAGATCCTGAATCACAAATGGAAGAACTTTTTGAGGCAGTACCCTACAAACCTTGGCAGCGTCAAAGTTTATTTCAGAAGACTTCTCAGGGTCCATTCTAGAGGAATGCAATTTTTATAAAATAGTTTAATATTGACAAGATTTGTTTACCAATCCTGAATTCCAAAATATACAAGCTTGTTAAGGAACTGCCAAAGTTTTTTTCTTTCCGGAAGACAACTCAAGGTTAGGGCAAAGGAATAAGTTATAGACGTGTTAACACCTTCAAGCAAGTAAGATCAGGTACTGTGAGAGCCGTAAACCAGTACAGCATCAAGACATTTATTATTGTAAATAATAAAAATGAAAAGATTAAAAATTTATTTCCTATGACGAAGGAGGTATTGACAAAAGAGGCCCCGAATTAAATTCTCAAAAGATAAAAATTAAAAAAATCTGTTTCTACATGCCTTTATA